TGGCTTCCCGGTCTTAATGGCCGGGTGCTGTCAGGGGATTCGACTGGTTTTGTCTGCCGGACACCCCGGGGCCCTCCGTGTCTGCCCTCCCCCGCCTGGCAACTTACAGTTCGTTGGCTACAAGTCGGCGTGTCTTGGGTGTTAGGGCGCTGTTTGGGGGTAGTCAGTCCTACAAGTGTTGGGCTGCATTGTGAGGCCACCCTATGGGCGTGGCTCGCCAGCTCCCACGTTTGCGTCCCTTCAGAGGGGCTGGTTTGGGACGTGGTCTCTCCCTGCGCCCAGAATTTCCGTCATGATAGTTATCTGCGTGCCTGGGCTTTCGTAGTGGGGAGTACCAACATGGCGTCTTGCTTGTCTCAGTGAGGCAGATTGTGTGTGGTTGTCCCCTCATGTGAGTGGCTGTGATGTGTGTTGGGTGATATAAACGGAACCGTGTATAACTAAACAACATGAACAAGAAGTGCCCAGCTTTGTCCCAGCCCCCCTCCCAGCTCTAGCCCCGTGTGCCCGCATGTCCCGTTGCCCTCGCCCTCCCGCAGCCCCCCCTCAGCTCTGGTCCGTGAGCAGCGGTGTGCTAGAGCAGCCTGTTCAGTTCAGCAGTCTTGGCCCAGGTTGTGACCCGGGTGATGGTGTCGGTGTCCAGACCCTTTGTACCCTGCCCATCATCCCCTCCCCACCTACGGGGTATGTCCCCCTTTTTGCCCCGGGTGTGTGGGTTTGCTGATGGGGCCCTAGCTCCCGGCCGCTCCCCGAAAGTGGCTTCATTTCCCTCCCCACCTGTCTGCGGCCTTCCTCCCTGTCTACTAGCTAATGCAAGCTGGCAGCGGACTTAAAAGTACATACCCCTGCCGTGGTGTCATCGGATCTGCATGGCGTCCATAATCATAGCTGGGGTAAGCTCAGGAGGCAATGCCCTGATCTGGCATGGGATGACCCAGGGGGGGCCACTGGTCCGTGCGGCGTGGGGGCCTCTATTCCTCAGGGCCTATTGGGCCGCCTCTGCGTCTTGGTGGTCCAGGCTCCAGGTGGATGTTGTGTGCCACTTCAGATGGGCCTGTGGCTCGCGCCGGGGGTTCCTCCAGGATCCAGTTTGGCACTGAGATAGCAGGTAAGTTGGCGGTTCTTAAAAACCGTGGCACGTCGTTCGGCCAGCGGATGATGTGCCATACGTTTCCCATCCGGGCCTGCAGGCTAAATGGAAATCCCCATTTGTATGGAATTCGTCGCTCCTGAAGTGCTCGGGTGAGAGGCCGCAGGGCCCTGCGGGCATCTAGGGTGATGGTAGATAAGTCCTGGTAAAGGGATATTTGTGCTTCCATGTAAGTGATGTGCTGCTGTGCACGTGCTGCCCGCATTATAGATTCTTTTAGCGGGAATGACAGGAGGGCGCAAATCATGTCTCTTGGCTGGCCGTCTCTTCTGGGGGCGCGGAGTGCCCTGTGGGCCCTTTCGATGCCGAAGTCGCCAGGAGCTGCATCTCCTAGTAGTTGCGCAAATAGGCCATTCAGGATCTCCTGCGGTACCTCGTCCTCGGATTCAGGCAGGCCTCTGACTCTGATGTTGTTACGCCGGCCGCGGTTATCAAGATCCTCAACCTGCCGGCGGAGGTCCAGGAGGATGTTGCCCTGCCTCGTGGTTGCCAGTTCCGCTGCCTGTCTGTGCTGCTGGGATTGTATGCGCTCCTCTTCCAACCTGTCTACTCGCTGCTCCAGCGCCGTGAGGTCGGTGCGCACAGCCGCTATTTCCTCCCTTATTATGGCCCTCAGCTCAGCCACCATTTCACCTTTATCCTTCCGGGTCATCATGCTCGCGGAGATCGCGGCAAGGTCCGCGGATATTTGGGACAGGGTGCCAGGGGTACTGGATTCCCGCGCCGAGCCCGCTATGCTGGAGCCCGGGGAATCGAGGGCCGGTGTTCCGGTCTCGCCCGTGTCGCGGAGGCCATGCGGCGTGGCCAGGAACTCGTCCATCGGGCCGGCTGGCGGTCGGGAAGGGGCCGGAGTGACCTGGGCTGCGGTAGGTAGCCGTCGATTTTTCCCCCCCATGGAGGTGCGCTTTCTGCGGCGTTGCTGTGCTGGTTAATCGGGGCAAATCAGGTTGGGGCCTAGGAGCTCGGAATGAGTGCGTCCTACTCCATTGACTGTTAGGCCACGCCCCCTACTTGGATCTATTTTCGTTGTAGTGATTTTTTTAAATTTTTTTTTTTTCTAATTAGAATTTTGCAAATCGGATTATTTTAAAAGGAGAAGAAAGGAGCATATCGGATTATTTTAAAAGGAGAAGATAGACACCTGGATAGTGTTCCTGTCCACTTAACCTTCAATGTAAAACATTGCAGTTTCAGAGAAACTGCAATGTTTATATTGCATTGTTAACCCCTTAAGGACGGAGCCAAATGTACACATTGTGAACAAAACAAAATGTAAACAAAACCTGGCATTTGCGCTACATGTCTGTCCAACCGTAATACACCCCTTTCATAGTAAATGCACCCACCCTTATTATATATCATTTTATTCAGGGGAAACAGGGCTTTCATTTAATATCAAATATTTAGCTATGAAACATAATTTAATATGAAAAAAATGGGAGAAAATACGATTTTTTTGATTTTTTTTAGTTCTAAATTGCATTTTAAAGGTCAGTGTCATAATACTGTTTGCTTTTACTGCAATAAAATACACATATTTATATTCAGTAAAGTCTCACGTGTAAGACAGTACCCCCTATGTACAGGTTTTATGGCGTTTTTGGAAGTTACAGGGTCAAATATAGCACGTTACATTTGAAATTGAAATTCGCCAGATTGGTTACGTTGCCTTTGGGACTTTATAGTAGCCCGGAATGAAATTTACACCCATAATGGCATATCATTTGCAACAGTAGACAACCCAAGGTATTGCAAATGGGGTATGTCCAGTCTTTTTTAGTAGCCATTTGGTCACAAACACTGGCCAAAGTTAGCGTTAGTATTTGTTTGTGTGTAAAAAATGCAAAAAACGCCAATTTTGGCCAGTGTTTGTGACTAAGTGGCTACTAAAAAAGACTGGACATACCCTATTTGCAATACCTTGGGTTGTCTACTATTGCAAATGGTATGCCATCATAGGGGTAATTTTTATTCTTGGGCTACCATAGGGTCTCAAAGGCAACGTAACCAATCTGGCGAATTTTAATGTGAAAAAACTGTAACGCAAGCTTTATATTTGACGCTGTAACTTTTGAAAACACCATAAAACCTGTACATGAGGGGTACTGTTGTACTCGGGAGATTTCGCTGAACACAAATATTTGTGTTTCAAAACAGTAAAAAGTATCACAGCAATAATATTGTCCGTGTAATGCTGTTTGTGCGTGAAAAATGCAAAAAACGTCACTTTTACTGGCGATATCATTGTTGTAATACATTTTACTGTTTTGAAACACTAATATTTGTGTTCAGCGAAGTCTCCCGAGTAAAACAGTATCCCCCATGTACAGGTTTTATGGTGTCTTGGAAAGTTATAGGGTTAAATATAGTGCTAGCAAATTAAATTCCCTTTACTTTCGGCATGGGTTGTCAGGCAGGTCCCGCTAATTGTAATTAATTAAGATACCTAATTATGTAAAAATATTACATAAATATATGTAGAATTTACATATATATATATATATATATATATATATATACACACACACACGTATGTGTATATATATGTATATAATTTTTTACAAATATTTTTATTTATATATAGGTATATATATATAGTGATATATACGTATATATTTATGTATATAGATATATATATTATTTCGTTCTACATGTATTTTGATATATATATATATATATATATATATATATATTAATTTCACAATACAGTTAGAACGAAATAACACACATCTATATATTTTTAATTATTTATTTTTAATTATTTTTTTAATTTTATTTTTTAACGTATTTACATATTTTTTTTATATTATATATAAATATATATATAACAATAATTATATATATATATTTAATCAGTATCAGTCTATGTGTAATTTGATATTAATATATATATATAATTATATATATATTAATAGTAAAATACACCTAGACGGTGTATGTGTGTGTATGTATATGTGTATATATATACTTAGATCATATATATATAATATATATATATGATCTAAGTATATATAATAATTTTTTTTTACACCATTAACTTATTTTACTTTTATTTTCAGCCAGCAGGGGGACCACCTGTCATTACAGGCAGCCCCCTTGCCGGCAATACAGAAGCCAGCTATACCCGGCCATGTGATTGTGGGGTCCTCGCTAGGACCCCACTCTCACATGGCCGGGGGGCTTCAACGAGGACGGATGTGCCGCGGGGGGCTCCCTGGGAGTCCCCCCAACCGCGATCGCCGGCGTGGGACCGCCGGCGACCGGGTAAGTTAACAAAAACCGGAGGGCGTACAATTACGCCCGGCGGCGTTTAGAGCCGCCTATTAGAGGGCGTAATTGTACGTCCTCCGGTTTTAAGGGGTTAAGACTGCTTCTAGTGGCTGTCTTCCAGACAGAGTTTAACTCAGTGAAATAACACTGGACCTTCTCACACTTTGCATGAGGATGTCCAGCATCTTGAAAATCCCCATAGGAAGAACTAATATTACTTAGGACCTAGGACTAATCCCCATTAGTCAATACTTTCATATGGGGAATGCCTAATTCACCTTGGAGCCCGCTGCACATGCGCATTTGGTTCCCTACATCGCTGACCTTTAAGGAAGCGGAGAGCAATCCAGCAGAGAGGGACTGGAATCAGGCAAGTGAAAGAAAAGGTTTTTATTCATTTCATGGTCGGGGAGGAGGCGCAGGGGCAGAGGGACACTAGAGTGTAAGGACTACAGTTTGGTATTCCTAACACTACAGTGTACCTTTAATAGTAATGTCGAGGTGTAATGGCTTTTTTGGCTTTTTTTTGCCATCTGATGTTAAGTATACTTTTTTTGACAGGTTATTTGACAGAGGCAGCATGGGTAGCAACTCAAACTAAAACAAAACCTGGTAACGAAGCCCATAAAATTAACTGTATTGCTGATATAATATCTAGAGACATGCACATTAACTAAAAATCACTTATTTAAGTGGAGCTGGTGAAAAAGGTACTGTATGGGTTTCTTGGGGAAGAGGAGAGGTACAAATTAATAAGATGTGAACTGGGTGAATGCTTGGGTAAACTGGTCTATATGATGGTCCACCTCCACCATATGGGCATCCAAGAAGCTGCATTTCTTTAGCTGACAGGTCAATTTCCCTTTGTAATATCTGGATCAGGCTACTACCAAACTCATAGTTGAAAATCTAAAAACAGAACCTAACTAAAGACAAAGGTGGTCCTTGGAATGGGTATGCTTAATGAAAAAAAGGTGTTTTGCTTGGTAAGACAGCCATAATAAAACATAAGCTGTTTTATAGGATTCTGTATATTTTACAAAAAAAAAAACTATTTTAATATGAGTGGGAAGAGTTTATTGATCCAATGAGAAATATGCTTATTGATGACATTATGCATCGTTGTAATTTTTCTTTGGGACTGATGCTGTAAGAGGACAATTTGATATGTCATGTACAGTGGCGTACACATAACCCATGGGGCCCCAGTGCGAAAATTGATCCGTGGGCGCTTACTCGGCGCGGGTCAGGGCCGCAACACATGGCGGCGGGCACCTGGTCGCAGGGGTTGCAGGGCTGCGACCCCGCGACCGCGGTATGCACACTCCCTTAAAGGACCACTATAGTGCCAGAAAAACATACTCGTTTTCCTGGCACTATAGTGCCCTGAGGGTGCCCCCACCCTCAGGGACGCTCTCCAGCGCGGGCAGGGAGCTTTCCTCCTCCTCTCCTTCTTCCTAGCGACGTCATCGGATGCATGCGCGGCAGGAGCCAATGCTTTCCTATGGATGTTGGCGTCTTCTCACTGTGATTTTCACAGTGAGAAGCACGCAAACGCCTCTAGCGGCTGTCAATGAGACAGCCACTAGTGGCTTTAGAGGCTGGATTAACCCTCAGTGTAAACATAGCAGTTTCTCTGAAACTGCTATGTTTATTAAAAAAAAGGGTTAATCCTAGCTGGACCAGGCACCCACACCACTTCATTAAGCTAACGTGGTCTGGGTGCCTATAGTGGTCCTTTAAAGGACCACTAGAGACACCCAGATCACATCAGCTCAATGAAGTGGTCTGGGTGCAAGTCCCTCTAGTTTTAACCCTGCAGCTGAAAACATAGCCGTTTCAGAGAAACTGAGGGTTAATCCAGCCTCTGGTGGCTGTCTCATTGACAGCCGCTAGAGGAGCTTCCACGATTCTCACTGTGAAAATCACAGTGAGAAGACACTGAACGTCCATAGGAAAGCATTGAGTAATGCTTTTCTATGGGCGGTTTAAATGCACCTTTTGCCGCACATGTGCATTCGGAGCTGAGATACAGAGGGATCCCCAGTGCCAAGGGAGTCTGGCGCTGGAGAAAGGTAAATGCTGAAGACACACACACACACTCTCACGAACAGAGAAATACACACTAGCTAACAGACACACACATTTACTGACAGACACACACTAACACACACACCAACACTAACACACCCACTAACACAAACACACACACACACACACACACACTAACACACAAACATTTTTTTTTTTTAATTTAATCCCCCCAGCCTCCTTACCTTTTGGAGTGCTGGGGGGATTCCCTGGAGTCCAGTGGTGCTGCTGGGCTCCTGGGCGGCCGGTCACTGGGTGGGCTGGCTATCTGTCTGGGTGGCCGGCGCGCGAGGGAGCACTCTCCCCTCAGTGCTTCCTCTTCAGCTCCCTCGCACGCCACGTAGGGATGCCGGAGCCGGAAGATGACAGCAGGGCCAGCCTCGGGGCCCCTGAGGTGGCCGGTTCCTGGGCCCCCTGGAGAAGAGGCTGGCCCTGTGGGTACATAACGGGTCACAGGGGCGGCCGGGCCCCCTGGTGGGCCGGGCCCGGTCGCAGCCACGACCCCTGCGACCCTGGTATGTACGCCACTGGTCATGTAGCGAACACATTAATTTGTAGGGGAAACAGTTATTTACAGAAGAAAAATGTATTACAGTGTTATTCTTACTCATTATCGCTGCAATAGCGTAGTGCCAAGAGGATGACATATATATTTAATTTATTTTTTCTTTCAGATAATATTCATCATAACTTCATACTCACAGTCAATAGTCCGAAACATTCAGCAACATTAGGTAAGTCTTGTCTCTAAAGTATAATTTGTATGAATAATAATGTATCTTTATAAGCGTATGGCAATATTATTAATTCTAAACACTATTTTTTTACATGTATTGCCCCAACTATTTAAGTATAGTGCATAAAATGGCAATTTACCTATATAATATATAAACTATTGCTACTGTTCAGATCACATTTTACAATTATTTTATTTATCTGCTTAAACATACATTTATTTCAGATTCATCAAACACAGCTACTGTTGATTTTGAACTGACCCTATGCATTGCTTTTTAAATGTAAATATTCTTAGCTAAATTACTCTTCTTTGAAAGCCCTCAAAATTGTACCTCAAAAGCTCATGTATACTTACAATAAAGTTATAGATGAGAAAAACTGAATATCATTGTAGCGGATGGCACTGTGGCTGTCCTTAAAAGACTGCAATTCGTGTGTTGTTTCTGATTTGTATTCCCTCTAAATGGCATTCGTATTTTTGTTCGGTAGTTTCCATCTGTATTTCTTTGTCAATCTCTTTTTTATTGAAACATTTATGAAATGGGGTACAAAATGAGGAAAAGGGAGTGTACGTTTTCCAACACATTTGGGGTCTCATATTACAGTTTAGCTTTTTCGACATGGTACATCCTCAGCTTATGGTAGATGCGCCTATCGCTACAACACAAGCCATGTTTCAAGCAATGGTATAAGAGTTAGTCCGTGTTTGCACCAACTTTAATTTACATGCATACAGTATAACTGAGTAGGTATGCTATTAAAAAACAAAGCAGGTATGGTAATAATACATCCAGACATAGCATGTTAATCTCACCACATTACAGATTCAGTGAACGTGAGGTTGCGATAGGGTAACAGCTGTCCGACTAACGTGTACATGCTAAGCTTGGCTGTCGAATTTTGCTGTTAGAAAGTAGTCTGTCTACGCGTGTCTGAGGTCTCATATAGTGGGTTGCAAGTGTGGTGCTTGGTAGTCGGACTCGTTGTGAACTCACTGACGTGGTTAAGCAGCGTATTAAGCATCGTCATGTCCTGTTATGTGCTTATCGAGTAATCATATGGGGTCTTGGTTGGTTTAACTCTGGGGGGATTGGAAGGTACTGCTCTAGGAGTAGATCTCAATTGTCGGTGCTATCAGTAGGCCTTATTAGGTGTACTGTCTCCGGTCCGTCTGGGTTCAATAACGGTGGGATTTGAGATCCTAGTCTGGTGACCGGTATGATGTAGATTAAGTACCTAGGTGAATTTCTAGGGTCCATCTTCCGTCAGCCACTTGAGTGGTCTAGGACCCTTTATGCCTCCCATTATGCGCCCGTGGACATCCTATATTCCCATATCTCTCCTTGTATTGTCAGGAATTAGCTACCAACTAGACTGGCCGATCAGAGATGTTTGACTAAGGGTCGGGGCATATCTGAGGGGGGGAGAGGGGGAGGGAAGGGGTAAAGAGGACACATTCGCCACCGGGAACGCGGCCTCCCCACAAAACGATCCGACATCCAGCCGCACGCCTCCTCGGGGCCAGGAAATAATCCCTCACGGTCCCGTCACCCGGTGCGGCCCATGTTCCGGGTCTGCATCGGTCACTGGTGCAGGCTGCAGGGTCGGTCCACCCGATATGTGTAGTATCCACGGAGTCCATACCTGCATGTATTTTTCTGTAGTGCCACGTAATGCGGCGGTTAGTTGTTCCATTCCGTGTATTTCCTCTACCTTGTCCATCCAGTGCTGCAGGGTGGGTACCTGTGAGGTGCGCCATCGCGTAGGGATGAGTGTTTTAGCTGCATTCAGTAGGTGTTTGACTAATGTCTTTTTATATTTTGAGATGGGTAGCGGTGTGTGGTGAAGAAGCATCTGGAGTGGTCGCATAGGAATGTCTGTGTCTGTGATATGTTTGATCTGGGTTTGAATTTGATGCCAGTATGGGATTATCTTCCGGCAAGACCACCAAATATGGAGGGTTGAGCCAATCTCGTTTTCGCAGCGCCAGCAGGTCGCCGAAGCGTCTGGTATCATTCGTTGGATCCGCTCGGGCGTCCTGTACCAATTGGTCAGCAGTTTATAATTGAGTTCTTGTTGTTTGGAGCTTAATGAGCTTTGGTGGGTCAGAATATGAATGTTTGTCCATTGAGGGGCTGTCAGCGTGACTCCTGTGGCTTCCTCCCAGCGCGCTATGTGTTTCAGTGGTTCCCGCGGTGTGGAGGTTATCAGCATCTCGTAGAGGTGTGAGATTCCTCTGCAGATTTGCCGTCTCTGTGTGCATATTTTCTCAAACTTGGTTAGGGGTCTGTGTATCAAGTTTTTTCCCGGGAGGGCCTGGTAGTAAGATTTGATCTGAAAATATCTAAATCTGTCTAGCCCCGTCGGAGTCCGATCAGGTATTAGGTCGGGTAGTTGCCTCATTGTGTCGATTTCGCACCACTGTTGCATATACGTCCAGTCCATGGCCCCAAAAGCCTCGATGTCGCGTGGCGTGAGACCGCCAGCCAGGTCTGGGTTGTGCGTGATCGGTGTCAGTGGTCCCGGGGTAGTCGTCAGTGCCAGTCTAAACCTGATGGAGTACCAGACTCTCAGGGTGGCTCCGATAAACGGGTGCCTGTGGGTTCTTGCTTCGGTCAATGGGCCCCCTAGCCACAGCGTCGCTGGTAGTGCGCCGTTTAATTGGTTCCGTTCCATATGTATCCATTGCTTCTGCGTTTCCAGGACATGCCAGTCAACGATCCTGTGGATGTGTACTGCTCTATAGTAATCTAGAAGTGATGGTAGACCCGCTCCCCCTTGCGATTTTGGCAAACTGAGTTGTGTCTTCTTTAGTCTAGGTGCCTTGGATAGCCAGATGAACCGTGTTATGGCCGTGTCCATGGCTCTAAAGAAGGTCTTCGGTATAGCGATCGGTATGGTCTGAAACAGATAGAGGAGTCGGGGCAAGAGATTCATTTTTATTGCATTCATTCTCCCGAACCACGAGACACTAAGTCCAGCCCATTTGGCTAAGTCCGAGCCCAGTTTTGTTTGCATTGGTGTGAAGTTGTGGGCGTACAACTGGGACAGGTCTGCGGACAACCAGATACCCAAATATCGTATTTTGTCTCGGCACCATGTAAGGGCATATTGGGTTTCAAGGTGGGTGGTCATCTGGTCTCCTGTGGATATGGGGAGAGCTTCTGATTTGTCAGTGTTCAGTTTCAAGTTTGATAGTTGTCCATACTCCGCAAAGGCCTTCAGGAGATTCGGCAGCGAGACAATCGGGTCGCTAATGAAGAACAGCATATCGTCGGCGTATGCCGCCACCTTATGTTCTTGACCATGCATCATAAAGCCCTTCACGGCCCCGTCCTGTCTGACCGCCCCCAGGAAGGGTTCCAGGGAGAGGGCAAACAGAAGGGGGGATAGCGGACAACCTTGCCTTGTCCCATTGCGTATGTGTATCGGGTCCGATAATGCACCGTTTACCCTAATCCTGGCCAACGGTACTGTATACAGGGAAGAGATCCATGCTAAGATGTGGGGGCCGAAGCCCATTTCCCGGAGCGTCGCCAACATATAACGCCAGTCTACCCGGTCAAAGGCCTTTTCCGCATCGGTAGAGAGGAGAAGGACCTTCTGGGCCGATTGTTTCGAGGCATGTATGACATTCAGGGCGCGGATGGTGTTGTCCCTCGCTTCTCTTCCCGGGACAAACCCCACCTGGTCGGGGTGGATCAGTTCTGGCAGGACCCAGCCTATGCGCGTTGCCACAACCTTTGTGAAGAGCTTCAGGTCTGTGTTCAGCAGCGAGATTGGTCTGTAGCTTGCGCAGTTGGCTGGGTCCTTGCCCTCCTTTGGGATCACTGTAATCGTTGCCGACAGGGTATCTCTAGGGAGCGAGCCACCCTCTAGCAGTGAATTGAGACCTGTGAGGAGCTTAGGCATGAGTATGTCACCTAGTTATTTAAAGTATCGCACAGGAAGGCCGTTCCATCTGTATTTCATACGAATGGAAACTACCGAACTAATAGACCTCCCCAGAGTGAAGTGTGTTCCCAATTAAGCTGTCGAAAATGTGTACTAATAGGTGGTTTATTGACGTATCTGGGTGGCCGCCATTCGGCATACGAACACGTGGCGGCGGCCATCTTACGCACAAAAGACTCAGCGGTGTTTGGTCGTCGAGTGTCTGGAACTCAAATCGGACACTCGATTACCCGAACACCGCTGACACCTCCAGAGCTCCATAACTCCAGAACGGGAAGACGAATCAGCCCCCCATTGGGTGAGTTTGGAGTACCGAACAAGGGCATTCAGGCGAATGACAGTTTAATCGTGGATGGCATGTATTTCTATGTATTTTACCTCCCGAACGGAGACCGACCGCAGGGCCAAAATGCATGGAACCCGTTTCGGATACCACCTCGTGTGCGGTCGGTCAAATTTCACCCTCCACCTAACTCCCGAACCCCTGGTCTGATCTGGGTGAATTTTGGATATGTTGGTCACCCAGATCAGGGCTACCAGGGGGTTCCCTAAGTATGGGTGTACCTGCTTGGGGTATATCCAGAACTTGGGGAAAACTGTGTCTTGTATAATGGGATTAGGTGTCATACTAAGGGGAGGAGATGGGTGGGAGGTAACTACTATGCCATTGGGTACTGTCCTAATGAATGTGAATCCCTCCCTTGCATGGGAGAAATGCTTAAAAGGAATAAAAGTCTGCTCCTGATGCTGTGTGTCGTCCAGTCATTGGGATCTGTATGGGGATATTCTTGGATTGCATTGCTTATTGGAATTATTGCTTCATGGGATTTTTCATCACTTGTTCCTGAGCCTCACTGGGATCTTATTGGAGTTAACCTGTGAAATACCAGGCCTCCGCTACATTGATGGCAGCGGTGGGATCCAGACTCATACAGGAACAAGTACCAATGGAGTACGGATGGAGATTGACTATTCTCCACTAAAACGCTCTACACTAAAATACCTCCTGGAAGCAAGGGGTATTCAAGCCAGCAATAAAAAGAAAGCGGTACTTATTACCAAACTCATGGCAGAGTACCGAATGGATGGCGGTTCGGTTCCCGAACAAGGGGATTCGGCAGAAAGACCGGAACAAATGGAGTTCCAGAGACAGCTACAATTTAGGCTGTCTTTTTATGGAGAAGACCCACCAGCGGAAATTATTTCCAAGACCATGACAGAGGTCCAGGAATCTATACTGAGGCAATGGATAACGACAGCCCCAGAATGCAGCACTGCAGTGAACATGGCACAAGAGGGTAAGCCTAAAATACCATACCAGGCATTCAAAATGTATGTAGAGGAAGAAGACATAGATGCCTTCCTGCAGGATTTTGAAAGACTGTTTGCCCTGCATAGAATCAGTACAGAAGACTGGGTGCCCATTTTGGCGGGACGTTTAACTGGGAGGGCAGCAGAGGCATATCGTACTGTTCCGGACGAGGAGATCAGGGATTACAGTAGAGTGAAGGAGATTATACTGGCCCTGTATGCTATAACACCAGAGGCATACCGGAGGAGATTCCGGGACTTAAAGAAAGCAGAGACTCACATGCAGAGTGGGTTTGCAGATTACAGCGGGCAGCCCTCGGGTGGGTGCAAGCTAGCAAGGCACGGTCCATAGAGGACGTGATACAAATGCTGCTAATGCAACAATTTTATCATGGGTTATCGACTGATGTCCAGGAATGGGTAAGGGACCGTAACCCTGCATCCCTCACAGAAGCTGCTAGGAAAGCAGACGAATATCTGGATGCACGCAGGCAGCAAAAACCAGTAGTCCCAAAGGTCACATTAAAAACCTTTGGGGGAACAAACAACCCCCCAGTCTCACCGAGACAACTACCACCACCACCTGCTGCACAACCACGATTTCGCCAGCCGAGCTCTGGGCCCTGTCACCACTGCCAGAAATGGGGACATTATAAACGGGAATGCCCACAGCTGCGGTATCGATCCGACCAGGTCCTCCACCACCACCAAGAGCAGCCGCAGCCCACTACTACCAGGACATAATCCCAACACCGTATGGTTCAGCAGTGCCCATTACCACCGTGGAACAGTGGGAAGTACTGCACGAGGCGGATCCTGTACAGGCAAATGCTGATAACCGACAGCATCACAGACAGACAGTATACCTAGAGGACAAAGCTGTACAAGGGCTCTGCGACTCAGGAGCCACGATCACTTTGATCAAAAGCCACCTTGTAGTGGATAAAGCTAAGACCAGGGTAAAGCTAAGACCAGGGTAACCGGGGGAGCCGTATACTGGCTACCTACAGCAAGGGTTCACCTACATTGGGGAGCAAGGTCAGGAGAGGTGGAGGTGGGGTTAATGCCACAGTTACCAGCGGAAGTTTTGCTGGGCAATGATCTGGGAAGGCTCACGTCTGCTTTTGAGCCCCAGACCCCAATCACCGGAGAAGCCCATCCTGTGGTCACCAGACAACAGGCCCGCACCCAGGTTCCACCCACACTGCCGGAGGTTCAGGTAAGAGATCCTTCCCCTTCACTAGATTGTGTCCCCTGGGCCCCTCCTAACGAATTTGCAGCCAAGGTGATAACTGACCCCACGTTACAGGTATATAGGGACAAGGTCACAGCAGACCCACCTTGGTGGGAAGGTGAGAGGTTTATCTGGGATAAGCAGCTGTTATACAGAGAGTCTGACAAGCAGATAGCCGGGTCAGACCCGATAGTTATGAGGCAGCTAGTGGTACCCCAGCGGTACCGAGCGGAGTCGGATAGCACATGATATTCCACTATCCGGACATTTAGGGGTCAGTCGGACCAGGCACAGACTGACCCAAAGTTTCTTTTGGCCAGGGATCAGCCAGGAAGTGCGCCGATATTGCAACACTTGCGATACGTGCCAGAGGGTAGGGAAAAGGGGGGACCGGCGGTAGATTTAATAGGACCCCTCCAGAAAGCGAGCCCATCAGGAAAGAAATATATCCTGACTGTGGTGGACTATGCCACTAGATATCCAGAGACGGTGGCTCTGACTAATATTCACGTTGAAACGGTGGTTGAGGCCCTTATGCAGATCTTCTCCCGGATGGGATTACCCAAGAAGATCATCTCAGATCAGGGTACTCAATTCAACGCCGAAGTCACTCAGCGCCTCTGGAAGTTCTGTGACATTAAGCCGATCATTAGTGCCCCTTACCACCCCTAGACTAATGGGCTCTGCGAATGATTCAACGGTACATTGAAACAAATGCTCCGAACCTTCGCAGAGACCCACAAGGACTGAGAACAATTCCTGCCCCACCTCCTCTTTGCTTACCGAGAGGTGCCGCAGGAGTCCACCGGGTTTTCCCCGTTTGAATTGTTATTTGGGAGAAGGGTACGGGGGCCATTGGGAGCATTGGTAGGGAGAGCAGAGCACCGACGGCACCCCCATCATGTGGGGCATACCCTATGTGTTGGCATTCCGAGACCGCCTAGAAGCATTAACTAGGACGGTAAGGGAAAACTTACAGGCGGCTCAGACCCGCCAGCGCACATGCTATGATCGGAGCGCCAGGGACCGTAGCTTTCAGATCGGACAGAAAGTGTTAATTTTAAAACCTGTCTGTCATAAGTTACAGGCCGCCTGGCAGGGCCCTTATAGGGTGGTGGAACAGAGGTGTGACACCACTTATATAATCGGATCTTGCGTTGGAACTGGAGGGCGCCGCATGCTCCATGTGAACATGATGAAACCCTACCAGGAGCGCTCTGAGGAGGTGACCGCAATATGTGCACCCAACTCGGATGAGTTCGACAGCTTGCCTCTCCCAGACCTGCTGGGAGATGGTCAGTTGTCTAGAGATTTAAGGGAGGTTGCACTGGGAGACCGGCTGAGCCCTCAGGAGCGGATCGAGGTACAACAACTGTTAAGAGAGAAGCAAGATACCTTCTCTAATGTACCTGGATACACTCCTCTGGCCACTCACCGGGTAGAGACCCCAGGACAACTTCCCATGCGCCAGACCCCGTACCGCATCCAAGAAGCGGTGCAGGAAAATATGCGCAAGGAGATCGATGAGATGCTCCAGCTGGGGGTGATTGAACCCTCAGACAGCCCCTGGGCCTCTCCGGTAGTTCTAGTACCAAAGCGGGATGGTACGACCCGCTTTTGTGTAGATTACCGGAGGCTGAACGAGAAGACCGTGTCTGACGCCTATCCCATGCCCAGGATAGACGAACTGCTGGACAGGATGGCTAGGGGCCACTACCTCACCACTATTGACTTGTGTAAGGGGTATTGGCAAATCCCCTTGGCCCAGGACGCCATCCCTAAGTCGGCCTTTATCACCCCATTCGGCTTGTACCAATTTAAGGTCATGCCGTTTGGGATGAAAAACGCTCTGGCTACCTTTCAGCGGATATACCTGTGCATACTTAGATGATATTGCCATATTTAGCAATACCTGGCAGGAGCACTTGGCCCATATAGGAGCGGTCCTAGACAGGATTAGAGAAGCTGGTTTAACACTGAAACCAGCCAAATGCAGTATAGGGATAGCCGAGGTACAATACCTGGGCCATTGAGTAGGATGTGGGAAACAGAAGCCAGAACCAGCCAAAGTAGAGGCCGTAGCCCAATGGCCTACTCCTAGTGCTGGCCTTCTTAGGAACGGCAGGATACTATCGGAAATTCGTCCCGAACTATAGCGCCCTGGCCAAACCCCTTACTGACCTGACCCGTAAGAACCTTCCCCGCCAAGTAGCCTGGACCCCGGAGTGTGAGCACTGCAGCCCTTTGACTTTAACATTCAGTACCGCCCGGGAAAACAGAATGGGAACGCTGACGGGTTGTCAAGACAAACCGACCTGGAGAAATGATCCGTGAGCATCCCCGGACATCCCCAAGCCGATCCGAGTTGGATCAGACTGTGTATGCCGGCTTGTGGGCAACGGGGAGCAGTGTAGCGGATGGCACTGTGGCTGTCCTTAAAAGACTGCAATTCGTGTGTTTCTGATTTGTATTCCCTGTAAATGGCATTCGTATGTTTGTTCGGTAGTTTCCATCTGTATTTCATTCGAATGGAAACTACCGAACTAATAGACCTCCCCAGAGTGAAGTGTGTTCCCAATTAAGCTGTCGAAAATGTGTTAACCGCAGACTAATAGGTGGTTTATTGATGTATCTGGTTGGCCGCAATTCGGCCTATGAACACGTGGCGGCGGCCATCTTACGCACGAAAGACTCAGCGGTGTTTGGTCGTCGAGTGTCTGGAACTCAAATCAGACACTCGATTACCCAAACACCGCTGACTCCTCCAGAGCTCAATAACTCCCGAACGGGAAGACGAATCAGCCCCCCGTTTGGTGAGTTTGGAGTACCGAACAAGGGCATTCAGGCGAATGACAGTTTAATCGTGGATGGCATGTATTTCTATGTATTTTACCTCCCGAACGGAGACTGACTGCAGGGCCAAGACGCATGGAACCCGTTTCGGATACCACCTCGTGTGCAGTCGGTCAAATTTCACCCTCCACCTAACTCCCGAACCCCTGGTCTGATCTGGGTGAATTTTGGATATGTTGGTCATCCAGATCAGGGCTACCAGGGGGTACCCTAAGTATGGGTGTACCTGCTAATCTTGGGGTACATCCAGAACTTGGGGAAAACTGTGTCTTGTATAATGGGATTAGGTGTCATACTAAGGGGAGGAGATGGGTGGGAGGTAACTACTACGCCATTGGGTACTGTCCTAATGAATGTGAATCCCTCCCTTGCATGGGAGAAATGCTTAAAAGGAGGTTGTGTGTAATAAAAGTCAGTTCTGATCCTGATGCTGTGTGTCGTCCAGTCATTGTGATCTGTATGGGGATATTCTTGGATTGCCTTGCTTATTGGAATTATTGCTTCATGGGATTTTTCATCACTTGTTCCTGAGCCTCACTGGGATCTTAGTGGAGTTAACCTGTGAAATACCAGGCCTCTGCTACAATCATTTTAGCAGAGAGCTGCTCTTACACAGCTTATCTCCACTTTAGATCCCAGTAAGGCTTCAGAAACAAGTATTATAAATCCAGGAGGTAATATTTCCAGCAGGCAAAACACTCCAACAATATCCCAACCTCAATCCCAATGACTGGACGACACACAGCATCAGGAGCAGAACCTAACTTTTAATCACATCGTTTCCTTATAAAGGTTTCTCCCATGCAAGGGAGGGATTTACAATAATTGGGACAGTAGCCAATGGAACAATAGTTACCTCCCATACATCTCCTCCCCTCAGTGTGACACTTAATCCACTTATTTCGGTTACTGTTTTACCCGGTTTTTGGATGTACCCCAAAACTGTGGGGTACAAGGGTCTAAGTGGCATGTGTGTTTTGGCCCTGCGGTCGGTCTCCGTTCGGGAGGTAAAACATCCACAAATCTTTGCCATCCACTATTAACAACGCATTCCTATGAATCCCCTAGTTCGGTACATTGAGCTCACCGAACGAGGGGCTAATTGGCCCCTCCGTTCGGGAGTTATGGAGCTCTGGAGGTCTCAGCAGTGTTCAGGTAATTGAGTGTCCGATTTGAGTTCCAGACACTCGACGACCAAACACCGCTGAGAGTTCGTGCGTAAGATGGCCGCTGCCACGTGTTCGCTTACCGAATGGCGGCCACCCAGATATAGTAATAAAGCACCAATTGACTGCGGTTAGAGAAGTGTGAAAGCCTAATGAGGCACACACTTCTCTCTGGGGTGGTCTATTGATTCAGCAGTTTTCATTCGTATGAACTACGGATGAAAACTACCGAACAAACATACGAATCATACATACAAGTTTAATTACACAGGAAAACAAACACACGAATTGTCTTTTAAGCATAATCCTGGAGGCCAGTCCAGTGCTATCCGCTACAATCATGTTATAGGCTTGGTCGTGGGAACTTAACTGCTTTCCATGAAGAACTGAGAAGAAATGCACACCATATGGACAAAAGTATTGGGAGACACCTCTTTATTATTGAATTCAGATGTTTCAATTAGACATTTGTGAATAAAAATGGGTTGAAGAACTCAGTAAATTTAAGCGTTGTATTGTGATTGGATGCCACCTTTCCAATAATTCAGTTCATGACATTTCTTGGTAAATCCAATATAGGTTCTTTGCATAGGCTCATAAGAAGGGTAAACCATGGTCTGTGTTGCTAATATGGGACTATCAGAATGATGGATACTGATTCATGCCATAACCGTCTCAGAAGAGGAAACAGGAAAAGAGTGTAGCGGATTGTGTTAAGGCTGTCCTTAGGAATTCGCATTGAAAATGTATTCAGTTAATTGTTTCCTGTATGTCTGTAAAGTATATGTAGGTTTAATATGATTGTTCGGTAGTTTCATACGAATGAAACTACCGAACCCTCAGACCACCCCTGTAAGAAGTGTGTACCTCGTTAAGCGTTTACACTCTGCAAACCGCAGCTTAATTGACTCGTTACATGTACATATGTGGTCGCCGTTCGGCATACGAACCACGTGCGACGGCCATCTTGCGCATGAAAATCTCAGCAGTGTTTGGTGGTCGAGGGTCTGGAACTCAAATCGGACACTTAAACAACCGAACACCGCTGAGACCTCCCGAGTTCCATAACGCTCGAACGGAGGAACAAGTCAACCCTCAGTTCGGTAAGATCAATGTCCCGAACAAGGGGATTGATGCGAATAGAAGATTAGCTGTGGATGGCAGTTATTTCTATGTCTTTTAACTCCCGAACAGGGACCGACCGCAAGGCCAAAACACATGGAGCCTTTTTCGGATACCACCTCGTGTGCGGTCGGTCAAATTACACCCTCCACCTAACTCCCGAACCCCTGGTCCGATCTGGGTGATATGTTAGTCACCCAGATCAGGGCTACCAGGGGGTACCCCAAGTATAATTCTAGCTGCTTGTTTTGGGGTACATCCAGAACTCGGGGAAAACTACAGCATGATTAATGACATTAAGTGTCACACTGAAGGGAGGAGATGTGTGGGAGGTAACTGTTACACTATTGGATACTGTACTGATTAAATGTGTATAATGTGTATACCAGGTTAAGAGGCCTCCTGCAGAGGACAGAGCTTCCATTCCTGAGATCAAAACTTCTGGAGAAGAACCTGATCACTTTCTTTTTCTTGCCGAGAATGTCCATTTCCCTTGAGCAAGGTTGTCTTGTAGAAATGATTGAGTCTGTCCTATAATCATAGAACAGGAACAAAAAGACGGAGTATGGGAGGGATAGGAGGGCAAAAGGGTGAGAGGGGTAGGATGGGGTATTTATACATTTTCTCTTAATTAGGTTCCTGACTAATTTTGAAATATATATTGATTATACAGGTGCTCTTCTATGTAAAGCTAGGCAGACAGACAGATCATTTTCTATATATGTATGAGGATGCAAATTAAAATAGCTTTTTAACACAATTCCCAACTTGTTGATTAACTTATCTTGTTTGTTCTTTTTAGACTACCGAATGAACAATATTCAGTTTCCAGCTGCATCCACAAAATACAACACTATGTCCTTTTCTCGCTCATTCCATAATCTTTCCCACCTGCCACCCTCTTATGAATCTGCAATCAAATCTGACATTAGCAGATATTCTTCTCTCAAAAGACTTGGTAAGCATATTCAGTGCTGATTATATATAATGAAAGTTAAATCATGTTACCAGCACAACAATTCATTCCTCTACTGTTGAACTTATATAAATAATAATGTGAATACAGACATCTCTGTTAAGAAAAACATCATAATTATTGTAATTACAAAATTTTAAAAGGTGTTAATTGTATTATATTTCATGACTTAGAAAAAATGATGTAAAGACAAAACGTGTCCTTTTTAAATATTGTATACTAATAGCCAAAAAAAATATTAAAGGGATACTATAGTCATCAAAAAATTTTAGCTTAACACCTTAACACCAGCGGTCATTCAATGTTGTAATGCAAATTGTGGGCTTTAACAACACTGGGGGGCATAGTATGCCCTGCAAATCACCCCCTTTGGGGTGATCCTGACAACCCGAGCAGTTTATTACAAATATACTTGAATTATATATATATATATATATATATATATATATATATATATATATATATATGTGTGTGTGTGTGTGTGTATATATATATATATACACCCACATACACACAATTTCATTCTAAGTGTTTTTTGATCTTTCTTTATTCTCAAGACAAAAGCATAACAGGCAATACATGTGAAAAAGCACAAGACAAAGTATACATAGCATTGGATGTATACCTAACGTGGGAAATAGATGGTTTTTGGCTTACAGGTTTTCTTTATTTAAAAGAGGATAAAATAACATAAGATACCATACAGATAGGGCATCTCGCTCTGGGTGAAGATATTATCATATTTTCAAGTAGATACTTATTTTATTGGTAAGATATTTGTGTCTCACAGGCATGCCTTTGAGACACAAATATTTAACCAATAAAATAAATAAACAAACCTAAACGTAGTTGCCAGAGACTATCACCCACTGTGCGAAGGATTGACAAACAATTGAATGCAGGGGCTAGTGGTCGGGGGAATGATAATATGTGGAGGTGAACCCCACATGCCAGCAGGTACAGACCAGTCTTTGTGTCTATAAGAGCACTCAACGTATCAGGTAGTACTTTAAGTGAACTAAGATAATAAACTAATTAACATAAAAAAGAAACAATAATAGACAGTGAAAGTTGCAGTCTAGTTGCTCAAGGTATCACTGCAGTTGCTGGGTTTCCCCTCTGAGCAGTCAGAACAAACGGGCGGACCCGATAAGGGTCCCACGAACTTTGTTGCTGTGGTTTTGGTGGAGGAAGTGGTTCCAGCATCGGTCATTAGCCCAAGTTTCTAAAGGGTGCTTGTAGATTCTGAGGCCTCATAAACCTTTCACATTCCTGAGTCTCTAGGGATAATTAGGTATTGTGAAGTACCACATTGTAGGACACTTTATGTGAAACTAGTTTCTTAGTTAAGGGTCGCAAGAATCTCCACCAGTCCTCCATGGCCTTCGACGGATCTAAATAAAACGTATGGTATGGAGACTTGTGATGAACCGCTGCTATAAAAACCATTCTATCTTGCACATTCTGATAAACAGATGATGACATCCCTGCTGGCCCCCACAGGAGTTTTTTGTGACACTGGTAATCTGTATCCAGCAGCATAATTCTAGCAGTTTGGCAGCAATGAAGAGATTCACAAGTATTCTCCTTAAGAAGTGTGGGATTTCAGCAGTCTCCATTGCATCTGTTAGGTCGCGCACTTTCACGTTTTGCCATCTGCTCCTGTCCTCTGTAGCTTCCATGCAGTCTTGAGCCTGAGTTTGGTCGCGCTGTAACACCTGCAATTTCTGTTCCAGGCTGGTAAGTCAGACTTCATGGGCAGCAGTGTTCAGTTGAAGATGCACAGACACCCCTCCAATCTCCTCTCTGGAGTTAATCCAGGGGGCCTCTCAAAGTGCCCTCCACCACTGGTGTACCACAAGTAGTCGTGGGAAGGAGATTGCGCCCCTTCACTGTACACTGTTTTATTGTTCCCATATCATCCAAGGATGCCTTGCTGGATGATCGGGAAGGCCCATCAGTGGGAGACGCCATGACAGGCCTCTGCGGGATCTGCGGCCTCCGATATCGGTGGTCAACTGAGGTTTTTCTGGTCAGTACTTTTTATTTTTGCGCCCCATTATACGAAAGATCTTTCCCCCTCCTTTCAGAGTCATAGTTACATAGGTTGAATGGAGACCTGTTTCCATGAAGTTCAGCCTTCCTCACATTTCCTTTTTGCTGTTGATCCAAAAGAAGGCAAAAACACCCAGTTTGAAGCACTTCCAATTTTACAACAAACTAGGAAAATAATTCCCTCTTGACCCCAGAATGGCAGTCAGATTTTTCCTTGGATCAAGAAGCTATTACCCTACAGTTGAAAAATTATACAATTGAATATTCTGTTTTTAGAGTATGCATCTACTTGCTGTTTACAAATCTGTACAGAATCTGATAAAACCACTTCTTTAGGCAGATAATTCCATATCCTTAATGTTCTTACAGTAAAAAAATACATTTCCTTTGCCTTAAACTAAATCTTTTTTCTTCCAGTCTAAACATGTAACATCGTGTCTTATGTAAAGTCCTATTTGTGAATAGATTTCCACACAATGGTTTGTATTGGCCCTGGATATATTTGTATAATGTTATCATATCCCCTCTGAGGCAACGTTTTTCTAAACTAAAGAGGTTTACATTTTTTAACTTTTCTTAATAGCTAAAATGTTCCATTCCTTTTATTAATTTTGTAGCTCGCCTCTTTCTAGTGCCATAATATCCTTCTTTAGAACAGGTTGCCCAAAATTGCACAGCATATTCAAGATGTGGTCTTACCGGTGATTTATAAAGAGGCAAGATGATATTCTCATATCGAGAATTAATGCCCTTTTTCATGTATGACAATATTTTACGGTCTTAGCCACTGCGTGAGTCACTGGGGTAAGTAGAAGCTAAAGTAATTAGCAAGATTACACTGCTGGAACAGAGCTCCTCTGAGACATGTCTGCTCAGTATGGCTGCTATTATATATTAACATCACAATACACTTAGAATGAAATGTGTACAATTGCCTTAAGGGGTTAATAAAATAGTTTTTGTGTACAGATCATGCCCCTGCAGTCCCACTGCTTAATTCTCTGCTATTTTGGACTTAAATTAAATGGTTTCTGCGTATGCATCCCTAGCCACAATTGCCCTGGATTTGACTCAAACAGCCTACATGAAATTTTTTTTTATTAATTTTCAATGAGAAGTTAACTTGTTTTAGAAGGTTTATGTTTTTCTCTGAAAATGTAACTGTAATCATAGTTTACAATATTTGATCTTTCTTTACAGGAAGTGTTGAGGAAAGCTGTGCAAGTGACATGCAGGGAGGTTTGACTAGGGCTGCATAAACAAAGGGATTTAACTTCTTAATGCAGAGAAATGAGCACTGATACTGCAGGACATGATCTAGACACCAAAACTGCTTCATTAAGCCTAAGTTATTTTGGTCCATCTATCAGAAAAGTATTATATTACTTTCATAGTATTGTGATTTGTATTTGTATTTCAGTGTGTTGTGGTAAATTTACTATAAATTTGCAAAATATGTTAAGCTATGTTAAGTTCACTACCGTCAACAGTTTCATTAATGAAGATAGATAATAGAAAATACTGCACAAGTTAAGAGAAACTTAATTCCATTAGCATTTGTAAAATAATGGAACTAGTTAGTGTCATGGTACATGTGCAAGTGTAGCTTGATGTTTGGCTTATAGCTGCAGCAAATGTTGCTATTATCATTAGTCATTTGCCAAAGACAAGCGACAGTAACACAGGAACTCCTGCATTATATGCAGACTATAAGGAACATATCGAGCTTAAAGTTTCACATTAAAGAAATATTGGATAGAAACTAATATGGAAAAATGCCAATTATGAGTACATATAATAAGCTTTTGTTCTGTGTAGAGTGAAATTTGTAAAAAGTGTGGATATCATTTGATGTATTTCAAAATATATTAAGGGATTTTCAATATGTCAGTACTCTTTCCTTTACTCATAATTTATTAAAAGCATGGTAAAGGTCTATAAATAAATTTTCACTGTTTTGTGTTTAATTTCTTTTTGAAGCAGAGAAAGATATGGATGATTTTTACCTAAAGAGGAAACATTTAGCAGAGTTAACACGTGGTACCCTCCCTCTTCAAATTATGAAGATGAACTATGATCAAGATGGTTACCTTGAAAAATCACAGACACCAAGACGGGTCATGTCACAGGAACACATTCTCTCAGACAACCATTACACAGTACATCATGACTATACCATACCTAGAGATCGTCTAATCTCCCAAGAGCGTCTTCTATCCAGAGATGTTCTACATTCAAAGGAGCACCTGCTGTCTCCTGAAAGAATACACCCTCGTGGGCCAAAACCATTCCAAGAAATGCGCCTTGGCCACCAGAAAGCCTTGTCCCACACCAATGTCTGTGCTAGTACCCCAGTGCTTGACCGTCACCACATGATCAAAATGAATTCTCACCCTACATCATCCAACTCACCTAGCACCACTTGGGATATAAGCAACCATACGGCCAATCGTCGACAAGCCTTTGCTACTAAGCGTCAAAACACCATTGAGCAGCTTCAGTTCATCCCTGGTCATCTCCCAAGCCAGCACCTGCGCACAGGGAGCAAAAATGAGGTTACAGTTTAAAGGGCATTAATTTAATGCTTCAATTTCCATACTTTTGAAAAAGAGGCAGTTGATTTTTACTCTGTGTTTTTCTTACATTTTTCTTATTGCTTTTTTTTTTTTTTTTTTATCAGCCGTTACTGAAATAAATCAAAACAAAACATTTTTCCTGGAATCATAACAACAACATTTTAAGTTTCAATTTCCTTAATTTGTATAAAACTTTATTTGAATTAGAGTATACAGCTGCCTCCAGTGCCAAGATATTGACGTGGTAAACTATAATTGATGTCAAAAAGTTCTTAAGTGACAGAAAAGTTGGCACAGATTGGTAACAATGAGCTACATGGTAATGGGGATTTAACCTCGGGAAATCTATATAAACTGAGCTTGAAATATCCATTAGAAAAATGTATTGTCAATTAAGAGATACAGAATTGACATGAAAACAACTGGATGTCTGTGTATTAAGAGAGATATGGTCAAGTTGATTTCTTTTATTTTTTATTTTTTTAATTCAAGACATGGAACTGAGAATGAACATTGATGACACAAATATGTTAATAGAAACCTGTGAACTTATCCTTATTTTACACAATCTACATCTTGTTTAACAAGAATTCAATCAAAGTTAGCAACAGACAAGCTTGATGGTTGATAAAGATCATTAGGATATAGTGCAAAAATGTAGCATGATAAGTACATGAACACGTTTTCAAATCTGAAATCAGTTGATGCCATCTTTGTGGCACCAACAGAGAAATTGTTAAGATTGACTTGAATTGTAATGGTTTGTTCAACAAAAAAATTCTTCATGAAGTATTTAGTTTGGATAATTTTAAGAAGATGTCATCCACTTTTCTTATCCCTCTAATTAAGGACCTATAAAAAAGCCATTGGATTTTTGACATTATAGTATTGAGAATTGTGTTTGGTCATGAGTGAAAAAAATATGGATTGTGCCATAAAAAATATTTATTTTATTATTATATTTTATTTTTTTGACCTCATGCTATTTCAGTCAACCTTGTATTTCTGTGTTATTATTCTGATAGCTAGCAAGCTGAGATGTAATTCACAAATTTTATACACTTCCATAGAGCTTGCTCTGACACAGATGGCCTTAATCTTTCCAATAATAGTTCTCCTCAGGCAGTCTTTCAAATTAATATACTAATTATAGATTTTATGTACACTACAGGTACAAAATTATAGGTATTCACTTTTTTTGCAATATTCATGATGTGTATGACATCCATCTTGAATATAAAATTACTAGAACATTTAAATTTCAGTTAATTTTACTGATAAACTGCCCGTACTTTTTTGGCAGAAATACTTAAAAGATACATTTTTTTTTTTTTTATTAATGGTCTGATAGATTTATTTACTTGAATTATAAAATTTCATTTTATTTCTGATTGTGGATTTATGGTAAGGTCATACCTTTGTTGATTAGTGAAGTGTGTGTGTTCATTTGAAATCCTTCACAAAACCTTTCAATTACATATTTAGGTATAAACACTCTTCACTGGGATTGAAAAGGAATATAAGACATATTTCACTTCTTCACTTTATTTACTGCAGTATCAATACAAATCAGCACATTCTACTAATGTGATGAAACAGAATCATTGAGTGTACTTTATTACATTGATCAGTAAGGCCCATAAAATGTGAAATTTAGATTATCTCTAAATTTATCTCTCTTATATAAAATTTATCTCTCTTATATAAAAATGCAATGTGCCACTACAGTATGTAAGCTAATGGTTCCTTGACAGAAGCCCACATGAAAAAAATCCCACTTGAAAATTCCCCATGGCAAAAAGGTCACGGTGATAAATGCTCAGTTGAAAAATACTCACACGGTAAATTGTCATCACAGAAAAAACATTTACTTTTATATTTTAACATAAAATAAAGTCTATATTTTACCTCTACTTGTGATGTATTTTAATACAACTTATTTTTGTGTCAATCTCTTTTTTATTAAGTTAAAAACATAACACACATAATAGGCATTTGTCAGATATGTCAAAGAAAGGTCATTAATATCACATTGGCACAAATATGGACAGTACCTCATTTTTAAAGGATGGTGAAAGAGGAAAGTGATATAGTCTCGGATAACTGCTCATGAGGAAGATTCATAGAAGCAAGAAAATGTGTCCTGGAGTAAGCAGGAATTATTACTCAAGAAAGAAAGGCACTTATGGTAAAGGCATATTCAGTGGGGGTAAAATCATTGTGTTAACATAGAGCAATAACTTTTGGAGCCATATCAAGTGCGACTAAAGAAATAACAAGACCAAACAAGAAGTAGTAGCCAGTCTTAAACAAGTTGCTCAGCCATCGACCAATTTAACCAATTTAAGCTGGAAGATGGAAGAGATTCCACCAACAAGCCCAACAGTTGAAGGAAGATAGGTGCTTGGGATAGCTGAGAGAGGAGAAATGTATCGCCACTTTTTCTGCTTGCAGGCAATAGGGGACTCATTTATTGGCTATACTGTTGCCTTGAGCAATTTAGTAATATGTCAGATGAATTGTTGCCAAAATATGGTAAGCCTGGAAAGGTAGCTGGGATTCTTTTAAATTAAAGGGTAGATGATCCTCTGGTACCACCTAAAGCATTGCCCTGTCAGGGTCTATTTAGAACTTAAACAGGAAGTCCCTAAGAGTCTCCGAGGGGGCCCTAGAGTCCTTGAGTAAGTGAAAGCAGCTGTCAAAAGGTGTATGCTTAACCTGCTTAGGGGACAATATTATAGAGATCTGTGGCAATTTGTGCCACCAAATTGCACCCAAGATCTTCTACCTAACATTGCTGCCCCTCCGCATAGCCAGCTGCTTCATAACCAATATCATATTCTACTAGAAGATGAAAAGGTGAAAGCACCGGTAGGAATATCTTCTGTGGTAAATGAGAAGGAAAGGATGTGGGCACTGTGATGAGTCAGGGTGAGAAGGGCCAGTTTAAATTAACCCTGTTACACTTAGTTTAAAAAGACTTCAAATTCCTTCCTGTGTTAGGTCCCCTTATAGTCTGCCAGTAGGAGACTATGCAGTACAGTGGACTGTACTTCTTACTTAATAGTAAAATAAAAATATAGTCAGGCAGCTTCTCACCTTAGTGTTGGACCCTCACACCAAACACATGTAACAAAACAAATCAAATATACTTACAATGGTTGGGCACCATATATATACCTTAAAGGATCACTATAGTGTCAGCAAAACAAAACCCGTTTTCCTGACACTATAGTGCCCTGAGGGTGCCCCCACCCTCATGGTCCCCCTCACGTAACCCCTTCAGCAGCTTATCTTATTCCAGTGCCGGGCTCCCTCGGCGCTGGTGACCTCTCCTCCCCCGCCGACGTCAGCTCCCCCGTCAGCAGAGCCAAATGCACATGCGCGGCAAGTGCCACGCACGCATTCAAAGTGTCCATAAGAAAGCATTTCTCAATGCTTTCCTATAGACGCTCTGCTTGATGGAGGTGAAATGTGCCTCCAGCGTTGCAGATGCGCCTCTAGTGGCTGTCCGGAAGACAGCCACTAGAGGCTGGATTAACCCCAAATGTAAACATAGCAGTTTCTCTGAAGCTGCTATGTTTGCATCTGTAGGGTTAAAACCTGAGGGACCTGGCACCCAGACCACTTCATTGAGCTGAAATGGTCTGGGTAACTATAGTGTCCCTTTCCTGACAAAAACCGTAGGATCACATAAAAGTAGAGAAATTGTAGTCCAGGCACACAAGGATCAATTCAGCAGGTTTATTGGAACAAAGTGCAACGTTTCTAGAAAGATCCCTTGTGGGATCGAAACGTTGCACTTTGTTCCAATAAACCTGCTGAGTTGATCCTTGAGTGCCTGGGCTACAATTTTTGTTCAACTGTTACAGGAGGGATAGGCAACCTCAGGTCTGGTTGCACCAATATTACAAAAAGTGTGCGGTATTCCTCTCTTTTTGAGGATCAAATGTTATTGTTTAAAAGACAAAGGTATTCCCAGTGAATATCAAAATATATACTGTGAAGACTTTATAAACGCACAGTCACATATGAATAGAGATGGTAGATTGTATCCAAATATTAATAAAGTTAAACATCAGAATTTATTAATATACAACATAGAAAATGATAAGCTAAAAAAGCATTCTAATATAACAATTAAAATGAACATAAAAAGCACAGTATTATGGCAAGTATGGCCCCTTACAGGATAACAAAAGGTAAGTAAATATAGAAACATAGAATGTGATGGCAGATAAGAACCATTTGGCCCATCTAGTCTACCCAATTTTCTAAATACTTTCATTAGTACCTGGCCTTATATTATAGCTAGGATAGCCTTATGCATAACCTATGCATGCTTAAACTCCTTCACTGTGTTAATCTCTACCATTTCAGCTGGAAGGATATTCCATGCATCCACTACCGTCTCAGTAAAGCAATACTTCCTTATATTGTTTTTAAACATTTGTCCCTCTAATTTAAGACTATGTCCTCTTGTTGTGGTAGTTTTTCTTCTTTTAAATATAGGCTCCTCCTTTACTGTGATGATTCTCTTAATGTATTTAAATGTTTCAATCGTATCCTCCCGTCTCGTCTTTCCTCCAAGCTATATATGTTAAGATCCTTTAACCTTTCCTCGTAAGTTTTATCCTGTAATCCATGAACCAGTTTAGTAACCCTTCTCTGAACTCTCTCCAAAGTATCAATATCCTTCTGGAGATACGGTTTCCAGTACTGCGTACAATACACCAGTGTTCTATACAATGGCATGAGCACTTCTCTCTTTTTACTGCTAATACCTCTCTCTATACAACCAAGCATTCTGCTAGCATTTCTGCCGCTCTATTACATTGACTGCCTACATTTAAGTCATCTGAAATAATTACCCCTAACTCCCTTTCCTCAGATGTTGAGTGCTGCTACTCACAAGCGCCTCTGTTGCCAACGCAACTTGGTAGCTCTTGCTGCTGGGGATCGAAGTCTGTAATTCCTCCGAAGGGAAAGCAGATTTCAGACCACACGATCATTTTAGCACAGTGCTCCAAAACGTGTGTTTACGCATAGCTTGAAAATATATACTTGCCACCGGTAATGCACCCCCTGCAGCCTTTGACACAGATGCTGCATAATCCCCTATGCATAACAGGGAACTCCACCTTTTAGATCCCCCACTGGGACTTAGATGTGTTCTGTGACTGGGGACCCCTGACTCATATTTCTGGAAGTCAGGACCCCTGAATTTTTCTGTGTGAACATTTATCCATGTGAGTATTTTTCATGAAAGCATTTACGACAGTGGAGTTTTTATCTATGTGAGCCATTTTGCATGTGGGTATTTTTCTTGTGAGCATTCATGACAATGGGGGTTTACTGTAGGGAATTTTCATGTGGGTTTTGTACATGTGGCCACTTATACATTTCTTTGGCAAGTTGGCTTTGCCTGTACACAACAGTTTCTTAATGCTCTGACTAAAATTACTGTAATACGTTTGTCTTCCATACAGTAATGGAAAAAGATTTTATGAGTAATGGTAACATTAGGAATTGTTGTTTTTTTTTTACCATAAATACATGACTTCAAACCAATAAACCTCATTACACCACTACTATAATGAAGCCAAATATAACATAATGCATGTTCTATGAATTAAAATGTTAGTGTGTAAATGTCACACAAATACACACATAAAATATGGTTTGAGGTAATAGGGAATAGAAATGCCAATTTCTACCAAATCTATGAATTATATGATTATTATTAGTTGTAACTTTTGTAAAAAAAATTTCAAGGATTTCCCATTACTGAATGCTGCTCTCAGCATTAGCAAAGATGGCTGCATCAGCCATATAGTAGGGACCAGCAGCAGTTTTTAGGCAAGTCTTTATTTAAATCTGTACATTTGTTAAACATCTTGCTAACATAATGTATGGATTAAATTTGAATATGTCGTACTTGCGTTTTGTGTGGGGCGGGTAAACTTTATAAATTAATGAAGTGCACATTTTCAGTTGAAATTTTATGGGAATTAAAATAATTTAATTTTTTTTAGCAGAGCTACTCGTTTTTATGAGAACATATTTTAGTTCATATTCCAAAATTCCATATTTTCATGGTCTTAATTATTGGTGCAATAATAGGTGTAAAAAACTATTTCTATTTACAAGCAGGTTGTCAGACATGGTTGATAGTTTGAGCAGGATATGTTCAAACAAGCACTACCTAAGGACAGCAGTAGATATAATAGACTTTCTAAACTTTGCTGTTCATATTTTCTAAGCAGCAAGTTGCACCACATGAGTTGTCTGAAGTGAAGTTGTGTAAAAACAATACAATAAACATGGTACATAGATCGGTGATTGGGGCATTGGATTGTAGTTGACAATTCCTAAAGTTGATAAATGTACACAAAAATGATGAAACAGTAACATCCACTGAGCACTAATTGTCTTATCTTTTTGGTCCTATGGTCTGGTACAGAAATGAAGCTTGACCAAGCACCATGTAAAATGAAACATAAAATACATCCATGCTAATACGTGATAATTTATCTTGTTAATGTTGATAATACTACCCAGGATAAACAATACACAGTGACACAGAGCATGCCAAAATGGCAAAAAACAACAGATAACCATTTGAGTGATACTGAGAAATATTTTGGTTTATGACAGTGTCTTATGAATAATGTCATTTTGAAATTAGTCTGAAAAGATTGAAATACCACTACTTTTTTGATGATGTGTAAATTTGTTCTGCACTCCAATTAATTTATTATAATCCATATCAGTAAGTCTTGTTGCACAGTTGCAGATAATGGATAGCTACCCGCTTTAGAGAAGTACTGGACTAGTTTTCTACTTTGGACAATTTAACTGGTCTTGTCACCTCATCAGTATTTAAGTGTGTTTTTAGTACTATTTCAGTTCATATTAATTGATTTGGAATAACATTTGATCTGGTGATTGTTCTAGCCATTTAATAGTAAATATAGGGCTATTTAAGAATTCCAAGTGAATTTAACCGTTTAAGGACCAAACTTCTGGAATAAAAGGGAATCATGACATGTCACAATTTAGCCAAATTAAAAAATACACTTGGAGAAAATGTTAACAGCTTTTTTGGACTAGAAATACACATTGAGTTCACTCTTTGGTGAATAATATTAATAGTTTAACTATTATCCCCGTTATTCCATCTCCCTCATATCTCTTTCTGCTAAATATTTACATAGCCACTTTGTCTCAAAATTATTTCTGTCATGAGGCTTGTCAGGTCCCACCTTACACTTTTCAGTGCCCTATTCAAAATTTAAGAATTATTCTGCCCCCCTAAACATTATTACTTATTATTATTTAATCTAAAAATGTAAATGTCCAAAATGATTCTGTTATATATAGTTATTTTCTAGGGCATTATATAGATAACTCATTGTAATCATCCAAAAAAAGTATATAAAATATACTTCCCTTGGTGTGTGCTTTCCAAACCAAGTGGCTAAAACATAGACAAACCCAGTCCTTTATTGTATATCTCGTCATGCCCCCTTAAGCTGCCCCTCTACATCCCCACTTTATGTGTGCCTCTTAAAGGGATTCCGTAGTTTAGGAATACAAATCTATATTCCTAATACTATGTCCCTTCTGGTCACCCCATCCTCCATTACCATGTGGGACATAAAGTGTCTCTTCCCATATCCTCATATCTTGTACTAGCCGGCTCTGACTGTCCCTTGCTTGACATTCTTCACCCTCTCAATGTGTGGGAACACAGCATAATGTAGTGTCCTCACCTCAGAGTCTCATATATTACTGTGCAATGGTCTTTCCTACCTACTTTGGGCAAGCAGGCTTTGTTAATCAATGACTGCAGCACTCACTTGTTAGTAACAAGTTACAGCAGTACCCATGATTTGACTGAGCTCTGAAGCAGTGTCCTCTCTCAGAGTGAGTACTATACAGTCTTGCAGGTAACACAACCCTAAGGCCTGCCTGCATAAGATTAATGTGTAGCTGCTTCCTTAAAATTGTAAGGGCACAGTGATTGCATGCATAGCTGCTATAAACATTGCAGTAAACAAGTTAAGAGAGGTGGAAACAATATTTAGGTAAATATAGTGTATTTTTTATCTATATTAGCACGTTACCTTCACCATGTATGCATTACATGTACCCTAATCTGAAAATACATTTGTATCCACATATTTTGTGGAAGAAAGACCCACTCTTACCAATAAACAATCCATTGATTAAATGTTTGACACGCCATGTTCTAATTTATCTCTCCACATAGTTTCTCATCGGTTAGTATACTTCAAATCATTAATGATGTGTTTTTAGTTATATTGTGAGGGCTATTTATCCACAGAATTACATTAACACTTTCATCCCCTGTTCACTTCCCAAGCACATAGTAATATTAGCAGCACAGAATATATATGTGCATTTAATCTTTATGTAGTAAGAGCCTATTTAAATTTATTTAGGATTTAGAATATACCATGATACAAAAGATTACATTTAAACAAATAATTGCCAACAGACACAAAGGTTATAGTGGAAAATTTCATTTAAAATATGGATTGTAGTTATGTAACATTTTGCATTACATATGTTCAAAAAATACTGTGGTTTGCTTGCAAACAAAGTCAAGCAATTTTAATTTATATATTCTGTTGTCTCGCTCAAGAAGGGCTTTTAAAAACAAGTGCAAAAGCAATGTTCCTCCACCAATCTGATCAATTATAGCGCTTATTTTTTTCTAAAACCAAAGTTTTGTGGAGGTATGGAATCTTAAGCATGTACATTTGTAAATTTTGCAAAGTGCTCTTTACACAGTTCAAGTATGCTTAATAGCTATTTTTATGTTTGCACTTACATGGGTTAACCCCTTCATTGTCAAGTGTTTTTGTTTAGAAAAAAAATCAGTGTAACATTTATTTTAAAAATAGGATGAATAGCTAGTACAGCATACAGGACAACATGTGGGTGTAAATAATGTTAGCATTTACAGTACCTCTCTAATTTTTTCTAACTTTTTCCAAAGTGCATGGAAAGGTATTTGGGACCTGATGGGCTAAATACAATTTACCAATGAAGGGTTAGGGGTAAGGAGCTGCTGTAGAACATTATAAGACCTGTAACAGTACTATATTTTCTTTGATTTTATTTCACTATATGTTGTTTATGTGTATGTAATAATGTATGTGGGAGAAAATAGAATTCACTTAGATATAATCCTAAATGTTTACTGCAATCATTACTTTTAAACTCTTTTGTTTGAAATATAACGTGACTGAAATTAATGTGTGAGTTTAATTTCAGGTAGACCTCAATTACAGACTGTATCATAGAATAGTGATGGTGACAAAAAAAAGGGAAATATTTGGTGTATTGTTTACAAAATTGTTTATAATTGATTCATATGAAGTTTAATTAGTGTGCAAAAGAGAGGCCTTTAAATCTGGCACCCGTGATATAAATGTATTATGAAATTTGCAGTTTACATTCAACAATTCTTTACAATTTTCCTATATTGTTTGAATTTATAATGTTTACATACACATATTCATGTTCAAAAGATTGCTTAACAATTCCACTGCCAGGTTTTGCTAGAATTTTCCTTCCTTTTTTGCACTAAAGGTTTTAGAACAAGAATTTTTTTTACTAACCTTGTTAGTGTCAAAGTGTCAAATTATTTTTAAATCTTCATTAGAGACAGTGCAAACCACTGTTCATTCCTCTAGTCCTATATCAACTCATTAATCAAGTGGAAATAAAGTTATTTTATAACCTTATTGATTAAAATGTTTTGTTCATATTGCATATCGTGTATACTCCAGCTTAAATTTGTTGTGAAACATTAATGAAATATTAATATTTTTACAGAAAGCTTGTTTTTCTTTGCCTATTTCCCAATACTTTTTGATATATAATTCTGGTGTTTTCTTGTAATATATCAAATGATTTGCACCATTAGTTTGAGTACCCACTATCTTAATGTGTTTATTATATAACTGGTTATATTAAAAACTGTGCTGTTTCTATATTCCCTTTTCAGATGTGAATCTAAGATTGGTACTAAATACTATTTGATATAGCACTTTTTATAACTGAATTAACACAAAAATACAATCTTCCAGACCAGTAGGGCAACTTTTATAGAAATTACCTAACAAGTAAATAGAAAGGCATGATAAACTAAATTTACAAAAATGGTGTGATTTAAAAATGCTTTAAATATAACAGGATATAATAGAATGAGAATTAGATTGTCATTGAGAACTAAGGTAAGAAAATGTTTGTACATATGTGAAGTATTCTGCGTAATAAATACACTACAATAAACACCTCGTACGGTAAACCTCCTATCTCAAAATAAGTATTGTACAAAGTCTCACAAAGCTGGTATCACAATAAAAAGGAGCTTTATTAAATATGGCTCTACATACAAACTGTCATGCGGTAACACTTCCGGGTTCGGCACTGCGCTGAGCGGAGCCGGACCCCGCCCCCCTCTGACGCGGCTCTAACGGTATTTAGGGAGACCGCGCCAGAGAGAGGGTGCTGGGTGATACTGGGAGCTACTTTCGCCAGACTTACCTCTCCACAGGGTCTGGCAATGTGGGTCCGACTTCCGAGTGTACACGCCAGCTCCTGAGACGCCGGCTCTTCAAGCTCTGATGTTGTCTTAGCCATTGCTTCATGTTATAGAGGAATGCTGGAGAACGGAAACTCACTTTACAAGTGGACCTTATCTCTTTACTATTGGAGGACTACTAACCTTAAGTATACCTCACATCTAATTATCTGCAATCTCATTTAATAATGAACTAAGTCTTACTTACTCAAATCTTCACTACTACACGCTACTAATTATTTGGAGGACAACTCTCATCATGCTTATTCACTATGCTCATTCACTATGAACTGATTCTTGCTTTGCAATTACACTCAGTGCTTCAAGTTACTAATTATATGGAGGACAACTCCTATGATGCTTATTAGCTATGAACTGTTCTTGCTTTGCAACTATTCTCAGCTACTTGCTTAATATTACTATTGAAGATTATTCTCATTAACCAAAGAATGTTACTTAATGCTTCTCTGAGGAAATACTTAATAATGAACTTTGTGTTGTTGATTACTTGCACTTCTTCTTATTGGATTATTGCCTAAATGCAATTCATTTAAGTTTAACACTTATTAAAACTTCGTCTGAATCAAGTTACCAGCGATTCCCTCTTTTCTTAAAGCTACAGTATTGATACTTTAAAGTTTCTCTGTATCTTCACTAATGTAATTAGGGAGGTTTACAAGCTGCAGTTGAGTTCCAAGCCAAATCACCCAAGTAGCGTAACACAAACACACGTCAACCCCTGTGAGAACAATTGATGCAGCAAGGAAAGAGAGGCTATGTAGTCTTGCTTTTTGTTTTGTCACTGGGCATTTTATTTTTCACTAATGGTTAGCATGTTGCTTTGATGGTTCACTTACTTTGATTTTTACTTCTGATCTTTCCTCCTATGTCTGTCTAGCAAGCTTAACAGGGAGAGAGGCTTTGATAGTTTAACTTTTTGCCAGTTTTTTTTTTACTGGTTATAGAATTTTTCATCTTTCTCTAATAGGCTATACCTATGTGGCCACCTGGCCACCCAACAGGCTTTATTTGACTCATTTAAATAGCCCTTCATGCCTCATACAGGCTGACATTACCTTGACTCTTAGGTACATTTGTTGCTATATATACTGATTGACTACATAGCCTCTCTTTCCTTGCAGCAATCAATTGTTCTCACAGGGGCTGACGTGTGTTTTTATGTAGAGCCATATTTAATAAAGCTCCTTTTTATTGTGATACCAGCCTTGTGAGACTTTGTATAATACTTATTTTGAGATAGGAGATTTACCGTACAAGGTGTTTATTGTAGTGTAATGTATTTATTTTTTCTTTTAATACTGTACTGCAGAATCTCAGAGGACAATTCATTCGCTACAGGTTAATTACTTTATATTTATATTTAGCAATACTACTATCTATATCTCCAGGAAGCATTGTATGTTCCCTTGTGGTGAACCTGCATGCTCTGTTTTGTTTTGTCTTTCTTGATTATCTGGGGTTATGCCCTGAGAGACCCCTGGAGTCTCTCTTTGGTGCCTAGGAGCACTGGGAACAGTTAGACACATTTCACTTAGAATTGTGTCTATAGTTGTTTCCCTTTGGTATCCCATCGCTATACTAAATAATTATTTAGCCAAAACTGCAAGGAAAGAGTCTTGAGAAAAGTCTATTGTGACTGAAACGTCGACATTTTTGTATTCTGCACAATAAAGCAGTATTTATTTTGATATAAAACGAAGACTCCAGAGTGCTCTCTACTTGGATGCTACATATATAAATATATACGTATATATCTCTATATATATACCTATATGTAAATAAAAATATTTAAAAAAAATTATATATATATACACATATAGATTCACATACGTATATATATATATATATACATATATTAATTCTACATATATATTTATGTAATATTTTTACATAATTAAGTATCTTAATTAATTACAATTAGCGGGACCTGCCAGACAACCCATGCCGAAAGTAAAGGGAATTTAATTTGCTAGCACTATATTTAACCCTATAACTTTCCAAGACACCATAAAACCTGTACATGGGGGGTACTGTTCTCCTCGGGAGACTTCGCTGAACACAAATATTAGTGTTTCAAAAAAGTAAAATGTATTACAACGATGATATCGCCAGTAAAAGTGACGTTTTTTGAATTTTTCATGCACAAACCGCGCTTACACGGATGATATTATTGCTGTGATACTTTTTGCTGTTTTGAAACACAAATATTTGTGTTCAGCGAAGTCTCCCGAGTACAACAGTACCCCTCATGTACAGGTTTTATGGTGTTTTCAAAAGTTACAGCGTCAAATATAAGGCTTGTGTTTCATTTTTTTCACATTAAAATTCGCCAGATTGGTTACGTTGCCTTTGAGACCCTATGGTAGCCCAAGAATGAAAATTACCCCTATGATGGCATACCATTTGCAATAGTAGACAACCCAAGGTATTGCAAACGGGGTATGTCCAGTCTTTTTTAGTAGCCACTTAGTCACAAACACTGGCCAAAATTGGCGTTTTTTGCATTTTTCACACAAACAAATACTAACGCTAGCTTTGGCCAGTGTTTGTGACCAAATGGCTACTAAAAAAGATTGGACATACCCCATTTGCAATACATTGGGTTGTCTACTATTGCAAATGGTATGCCATTATGGGTGTAAATGTCATTCCTGGGCTACTATAAAGTCCCAAAGGCAACGTAACCAATCTGGCGAATTTCAATTTCAAATGTAACGTGCTATATTTGACCCTGTAACTTCCTAAAACACCATAAAACCTGTACATAGGGGGTACTGTTTTACACATGAGTCTTAACTGAATACAAATATGTGTATTTTATTGCAGTAAAAGCAAACAGTATTATGACATTGACAGTTAAAATGTCATGCAGAACTAAAAAAATAAAAAAAATCTTATTTTCTCCAATTTTTTTCAAATCAAATTATGTTTCACAGCTAAATATTTGATATTAAATGAAAGCCCTGTTTCCCCTGAATAAAATGATATATAATAAGGGTGGGTGCATTTAATATGAAAGAGGTGAATTACGGTTGGACAGACGTGTAGCGCAAATACCAGGTTTTGTTTACGTTTTGTTTCGTTCACAACGTGTATATTTGGCTCCGTCCTTAAGGGGTTAATGCAAATCAGCATGAGGTTGGTTACTGGGTAGCTTTGAGGCTTGGAGGTACTTGCGAAGCAACAACCAAAACATTTATGGTGGGGAAAAAATTGTGATTGAAAACCCCTTCCACCTGAAGTCTGTGGATAGTTAATACAATGTTAAACAAAAATCTGCACACCAGTCAAGCAACAACCAAAATAGTTATGGTGGGAAAAAATGTGATTGAAAACCCCTTCCATAGTTAATACAGCTGTATTAGTTGTATACAGCAAACACAGACTCAGAGGAATCCATGTTTAAAATGGAATGAGGCAAAAACTTGATTCTTTGTTGAACTAATTTGTATATGCCCACCCAGAATCCTTTGTGGTAGTAACATCACTGCAAATTTGTAATTTCTGTGGGAAAAGCAAGTCTTATGGATTGACTGGATTGTTCACCCTTCAGGTGGAAGGGGTTTTCAATCACAATTTTGCCCCCACCATAACCTTTTTGGTTGTTGATTGATATATATAAATATGTCTATATATATATATATATATATATACATATACACACACACATACACACTTTGGCTTGTGGATCTCTGTTTGTGCGATTTTGAGATTGATTACTGTCAGGTTTGTTTTCAGTTCTGTTGTAGCTATTGACAAACAGTTAAACTGATGAAACCTGGTGGTGAGAACATAATCACTGGTTTTCAATTTTAGAAGTTTATCATCAGTAGTGGGTGTTTAAAAGATTTGTCTACTGTAGTGCCTAGACAACATTTCTTTAGCTTTAATGAACAAAGAATTAAAATTAAGGTGCCAAATTTGCAGTATCTCCAAACGAGAAGTATCTGCATGTAAAAATGTCCACTTGATAAACATTGCAACCATCTCTCTTCCCAGTTATATCCATTGTTAGTTCAATCTAAATCGTTACTACACAAACAAAGCTCTGTTCCATTTACTGTACTTAAATCACACAGCTCAATATTGGCAAGGAAATTATGTGTGTCAGCCTGGCATGCAAATGAAACAGACAGAATGCCAATCATGTTGCAGACTCCTCATCATTGTTCATTTAGAGCAGGCGTGCCCAAAAGGTAGAACCCCAAATTTTTAAAACTACAGCTTCCTTGATGCTTTGTCATTATAAATGCATTCTAAAGGCCTGCAAAGCATCATGGGAGTTGTAGTTCTACAACATTTGGGGCTCTACCGTTTGGTCACCCCTGAATTAGAGAGTACACTTGTTTGTTTTACTTATGGGGCTTTTCTCTGTTCCTCCAAACATGGGATACAAAAAAAAAAAAAAAAACCCATAAACTTTTATTTAATATTATTTTATTGCTTTATTTGGACCAAATTTTGAACTATTTCTCATAACCCTGAGTTTATTTGTATGGCCTAGGGTGTGTCTTCCATATTTGTTTCATGTAAAATAAAATAGAACATTTTTAAGAGACCAATGCCAATGTTATCCTTATTCAGTTCACTGATATAGGCATTTACAAAAAATAGCAAACCCTCCCACACAAACAGTCCTATCCAGTATCAAAAAGTGCAAGAAAAAATAATCCACAAAGATCAGTTTTTATGCTTTAAATGATCTCTCCTGATTTTTACTTTGAAGACTGTTAACCAAGCACATTTCTTTGTATGTATATTGAGAGACATTTAAGTGACACGGTCACTTTTCTAGTTGCAAATCATTTAAATTGCAGAATAGAAATCACTTTTAAGTAGGCTTGACATTGTAAAATATTGCACTGTATTATATTATTGTATCATATTAACTGTATTAGTATATTTTTTATTAAATGTTTATTTATTTTACTTAACCTGAGTCAGATAACGATCTTGTTCTCATAACTCTGTTTTTTCATGTCCTAAACAAGTCTAATCAATGTTGCCTATCTAGAATCTCACTGGCCAAAGTTGCATCTCACAAGGGCTTATGGTTATCCATCTCTGTGGAAAAGCCATGTAATATATTGCTACTGTTATTGTTTTTACCAAATAGCACACTTTTAACAGATGAGCTCTCAATTTATGAAAAGACTTTTTTTTGTTGCGAGCAGATATTTTAAAAACAAAGAAAAAATTAGTGAGATATGTATATCCCAACGAAACAACATCTTTTATTAAATAATTGTATTTAGTACTTTAATTCATATATCCTGATACTAGCCTCTAAATGCTAATGCAGTGTGTAGTGCCTTGCAACAGAACTGAAATGCTAAGCTTTATAATATTTAAAGTGAACCAGTCATAACAGATTCACTTTAACAGAAAACAGTGCATTAAAATTTGATTGATCATACATTTATGTGCTTTCAGAGCTATTATAGTGTCACTTACCTGCAGCCCCTCACTTCAGCACTGTCTTCTCAGAGGATGACAATAAATTAAAAATTTTTAGTGATATGCAATTTAAATCATGTCATCACTTTGGTTACAATGCATGCCAATTAAGAAAGTCATCTGGGTGAAATGCATCTCAGAGCTAGCTACCCACTGTAAGACTTAATGTAGCAATTGTTTTTGTAGTTTGTAATAAATATTTCTGTACATCATGATTTTCAGGATTGTTCCAATGTGTCAATAGGGTGGTGCCACCCTATTTTAGCACTGAACTTTTTAACTAGACTGTGATCATTTTCTTTTATTATTATTAATTTTATTATTATTATTATTATTGCCATTTATATAGCGCCAACAGATTCCGTAGCGCTTTACAATATTATGAGAGGGGGGATTTAACTATAAATAGGACAATTACAAAAAAACTTACAGGAACGATAGGCTGGAGAGGACCATGCTCAAACAAGCTTACATTCTATAGAATGTTCTTCTTAACATCCATTATATTTCATAGCTGAGTTTCAAACAATACTGCACTAGAGAGGTTTTTACTGTCTATTGTTTTTTTTTTGGAGATTTGTGGAGGAAGCTCAGTAAAGAAAGGTGATGTGCTACCCAAAATCACAAAAATGCCATATTGTCATAGTATTGCACGATTTTGCTTTATTTGTTTTTATATTTTACATGTTGTACACAAAACTGCATCCCCAACATACTGTAGGTGTAAGTTCACTGAGCAATTAGCTCACCACTCATTGGCTGCTTTAGGTGTTTGTCCCTAAAAGCAACTCTTTGGTTATTAACTCAAAGCTTTTAGCACCAGGAGGACAAAAGCTGTATTTATTGTTAACATAAGTATTAGTGTAATATTTATTTGACACATTGGATTTGCAGCTAGTGCATAGACGCATGATAAAACAGCAATTTTGTGTACAGGTTGCTCAGGAAATACAGTAGAAAATAGTAAAATTATAGAAATTTCCAAAATTGTAAATTTCACTTAATAATGTATCAGTTCTAGAAATATTGGGGGATATAATTTTTTTTTATTTTTTTTAGATTACACATATTCATTGCTTTACCAATTTTTAGAAAATGACTGAAATATCATTCAAACAGACATATCACTTTTGCCATATACCATAAGTGTGACAAAAATAGAGCAATACAAATAGACTAATATCCTGCTTATTGGTATAAGTATAGAACATATTTGCATGGTACAGTAAAACTAAACTGTTGTATTATATAGGTGTTTCCAAGATGTTCTTTGCATCCTATTAATTATTCATTTTTCCATACTTTATTATTCATATTGAACCTTCCCTTCTCCCCCTAACTGACTTTTAGAATGCATGAATAAAGCTCCTGTTTCATGCATGCTTAAAGGGGGAAGAGGAGGAACTGGGGCCTACCACTTAAGTCTCTTGACAGAGAAATTTGTTTCTCTACGCTATTAACTTCCATTCTACTCTTGAAAAGGAAGATTTGTGAGGCTGCATGGATTCAATTTTGTTTGCATTGCTTTGCATACTTTTGGTAATAAGAGTAAGAGCTGTAAATATTTTTGCCTACAACATATGTCTCCATTTTTTCTATTTCATTTTTTTTCCCCATCAGATGAGACTTAATGAATGTACTATGTGACGCTATTTAAACAGAGGACCACTAAATTTCAGAACTTTAGTTTAAAGCAGCACTGTCACCGTCTGATGACTTTGCCAAATTTGCTGTTTGTGACATCGCCACTGGTGATCCGGTAGCTGTGGGAAGGGAGCAGGGGGGGAGATGGGTGGTAAAAGTGAGATTACTTACATGAACCTGTCCCTCATAAACACGCTAATTGAAGTATATGGGAATCCTGTGAGTTTATGAGAATCTCCATAGACACAGCCAATTCCCTGCAGCCGTCACTAGTGACGGCTGTGGGGACCGACTCTTAGAGTCCGCCTTGAATCTAATAGAAAGCAGAAGAAAATATATATATATAAAAATACTTAACTGAATAAAAAAAGACAGCCTTCCAAAGTAACCCTTTTCCCACTGGGTCACTGACAAATGGGTATATAGAATATGGAACAAACTGGGTTACGGCTGTATTGCTATAAAAATACAAAACAAAATAACATAGTGTAGTATCCTAAGGTATGATATGCGACACACCAATACAGCACACTCACAAGATATCCAGATAGTAAGCACCTGTAGGGTGCCTCCACCGATAGCAGTGGGGGGCTCAGAGGTATCCTCCTATCGTCCCTTTTGTAACCAAATCAGGATATAAATTGGCACAGGAACCAGGAAAGTGGTAAAAAAAGGATATTCATTGAAGTAAGTAAAAAAGGTATGAAATACCACTGTAAGTCAGTCCTACGCGTTTCGTTCCCCGTGCAGGAACTTCTTCAGGGTCTTAGTAAAAAGTAACAAAGTAACAATAAAATCACACAATACAGAATACAAAATAACATTGCATCCGCCTAAAAAACCACCCTCCCCCTTCCCTCTTAAATAGGAATGTCCTCTGAGTGTTGATTGGATCGCGCACACAATGTTTCCTTACTCTAGAACTTAATGTACTAGCAAAGGGCTTAAAATTTGCCCCTAATCAAGGTATCAATGATTTTAATCTATATATTGACCTCAAAAAAAGCATTAGAAATCTGACAGATAAGAGACACTTTGTAAAATACCCCGCAATTAATACATCAGATCCAGAGCATACATACGATCATTTTAAAAGGAAGTCACATTTTTACCCCACATTCAGTAAAGGTCCATATCTGGAAACATTCGAAAAAATGGTGGAGAACGATTTTAGAAATATAGAGAGGAAAAAGAGAAAAGATAATTTAACTAAAACAGAAAGAACCTGTCTAAAAAAGCTAAAAGAGAAAGAAGACATTGTCTTTAAAGAGGCAGACAAAGGAGGGGGCATTGTGGTAATGACCAAAGAATACTATATTAAAGAATCATCCAATATTCTGTTTGATACAATCATATACAAGGTGATGAAAAAAGATCCAACAAAACATTTCAATGAAGTGTTGAGGGTGTTTTTAACACAGGCAGTAGAAAGCTGTATAATTTCTATTAGAAATTTTGATTATCTATTTGAAAAGAATCCCACCATTCCAATTTTCTATTTTTTGCCGAAGTTACACAAAAATCTTTTATTCCCCCCTGGTCGTCCCATCATTAGCGGCATTAATGTGATCACTGCCAACCTCTCAGCTTTCATTGACTTCCACCTGCAAAAATATGCACAACAGGCCAGTTCTTATGTTAAAGATACGAAATCTTTGATCCAAGAGATGGAAAATATTGAGTGGCAAGAGGGGTACAGCTGGGCCACTTTGGACGTAACATCGCTGTACACGGTCATCAGCCATGAATTAGGCCTATGTTACAAACACATTACAGACAAGCATTATGTTGTTTCGTTGTTATAAGATTACTTCGGTACTTGAATCCTATACCCAACTCACGAACGGATTACTTACACCAATTCGTTAAACGAATAACGGACCACCCGGTCCATGGCGTGTGCCGTCACTTAACCCCAGTCACCTTTCAAACAACCGAACAACTGACCACCCTGCGAGGGGAGTGTGTTACCACTGGATCGCCCAGAGAGTTGCGGTCTGCGGTTAACTGCAGGTTAATTGATGGCCTCCGGGCATTCTCGTTCGTGCCTTATCTCCCGATGGTCTAACTACCAAACGGGTCACGAACGGGGACCACCTACAGCCTGGCGTGTGGCTTCAATTAGAATGTTGAGTGTTGGCGGTCTACGTTTGTCTCCCGAACAGCTGAAACATTCAGCCAGAGAGCGGGGATTCTTGCACAACTCTGACCGTTAATCGTTCCACAAGTTTGATGCCGAGGTCCCGCTGCCTATTGACTCACTCAAAAACATGGCCTCGGGACCAAATATGCGAACGGACTTTGCAACGAAGAAACCAAGCATATGGTTCGTGGGTTTGAGGCGCTATTCGGTGAAATATTGCACACAGACCTGGGCTACAGAATGAATGGTAGAAGTCCCGAACTTTTGGTGAAAATGTTGAAGTTATATATTTTTAACCTGTTTTTGATGTGTAATAAAAACGTGGTATTTTGGGCGCTTGGAGATAATTGTATTGGCATAGCCGTTGGGTTCATTATCTCCAAGCTGGGCGGTAACAAATTTAAACAATGCATTTCATTCTTATTGGTTGATCCCTTGTAATATTCCTGTATCCCATCAGGTCCAGTGGGGGCTATCCCTGGACCTGAGATTTTGCATAAATATCGATCCCTGTGTGCCATTAAAAGCAGTTCTTGTTTGACCTTCAAATCGCAGCCTCGATTCGTTTTGTGGGGAAAAGAGTATCCTAGCTGTACTATAGCTAGTGGGATTGTTCTAC